CCCTATATTTCACCCCACATTATTGATACTTAACATATTTACACCATTTTAATAATTAAAAATAAAAAGAAATTAAAAAAAGGCAGCCTTTTTTCGTAATGTAAATTTGTTTTTAACTTCATCATTTTTTTCATATTTTCACTATTAAAAATATTTTATATTATTTTAAATTAAATTTTTTAGCAATTTTACATATGATAACAAAATATACTTAAATAGCAAAAATGATAAATTTGATTCTGCTTCTACCAAAATTCAATTATTAATTAGGTATGAGACATTCATTTTCATAATAGTATTTTAGCATTTAGCTATGTTATGTATTTATTACTGTTAGAATTTTATATGTATTTATATATATATATATTTTTTATATATATATATATATATAAATACATATAAAATTTTATATATATATATATAAATACAAATGACATAATTATATTTAATTATGTCATTTGCATATCAATTAAAACTCATTTTTATCAATTTAGAAGAAATATATTTCAGATTTTGTTAAAGGTAGAATAATTCAAATGCAGTTTGGTCTTTGTATAATACCTTAAATCTATAAATGTAAATCTATAGTTCAAAGAATTGTGTCCAGTTCAGTGCAGAGATCACTCAAACTAGATTTTAAATCAATGGAAATGTGTTATAAGGACAGATGAGTCACCTTTAGTTCTACAATATAGAAAAAAATGGTTAACCATATAATCCAGAGGGTGCACATGCCACAATGAAAGATGACAAAAAAAATCATGGTTTAGGGTGCATTAACTGCTCATGGAGCGGTAAACCTGTAAGAGTTGATGGAATCATGGATCAGCATAAGTACCATTATATTTTGTTCAGATGGATTTGTCAAATTCCTTTTGATTGTTCTGTAATATGTGTTGAGAGAAAAATTAACACCAGATGTTTAACCATCATTATTTCCTAACATTTATTTGTTATTTACCAAGTAAAAAGCTCTTCAAACTTAAAAACCTAAATTTTCATTGGGCAGAGTTTAATAACTGGGAAAGATTTGACAAATGGCTGACAAGTGGACAAAATTGAAAACTCTGATGAGTTTTCCATCAAAATTAATGTGAGTAACAAACCTTTGTCTTTGTATAAACCAAACATTTGTATGATTGATGATATAGATCAACAATCTTGCTGTCTTTAAAAGTTTACAATAACTTACTTGTTGTGTTTTTTGCTGATAATTTGAAGACAACAATTTGAAGATAAACAGCTATCTGTCTAAAAGACATTACTATAAAAATGAACTAAAAGAAAGTTGTGTTTACAAAGTTTATTTTTTGATTTCAGACGTTAGTAACATTTATAGAGACATGTTTAGTGCTTTATGTGGTGGTGATTTGAAACCATTTATTCAAAATCCTTATAATTCTACAAGAAAACCTTTTTATTTGAAAATGTCCATCTATTCAAATGTATTTGCAAAAATTGACTAAAACAACTTGACAGTGATCATTCATTCCTATATTCTAGTTTTACAGGTGATTCATATAATGTAGGTTTTAAACATTTTTGACAAGTATACATAAAAAGTATGAATAATAAAAAAAGATATATACAAAATGCTGGAATATCTACTTTTGAATGGCTGTCACAATTATCTGATCTTAATCCAGCCAAGAATCTTTTTTTTTTTAATTTAATGACAAATATAGTGAAATAGAAGTTATTATGTAACATATTCGAAACAAAATTAAAAAACTACTTGAGAATGGGTATTCAAAAAAAAAATTCAAAAAAAGCTGATAAAAAGTATTTGTTAAAAATAAAGTATAGTTATATATAAGAGTAAAGACTAGAAAACTAAATGAGAAATAAAATAAAACTTACTCGAGGTATGTGAGAAATTAATTCAAAAGTTACACCGCATCTGTTGGGTATATTCTAAATAAGTTATAAGAGACTTTTTATAATCAGACAAAAATATATAAACAAAGTAAAATATATATAAATAAAAAGTATATAAACATAAAGTTATATACATTTCCGAAATTGATAAATAGGTTCTTGTAACAAAAGTTATGTTATAAAAAATGATATCTCTACAAGATTATTACTTACTTTGAATTAAAACTCGAAAAAAAACAAGTAATTTTTTGCACAAGTAAATAATTACCTATGTCAAGTAACTCATAAGTAATATTTATATAATACAGGATTTAAATATTTAATAGAGCATTATCGACATGATTTATGAAAACAAAACAAGGCATAAGCAAAACTATACTATCAATTTTATGATATTGCTGTGATGATCATAAATGGGCAGAGCATTTATTATTATTTGATTTTGAGTAATTACTTATAAATTAATTAGAATTAACAAAAAATATTTATACTCTTTCAAATTCAGTAAGATATAAAAACAATATCCCATGAGGGTAAAGGAGTTGTAATGTTTGCTGAAGTTCTCCAGTTAATTTTAGCATAACTTATGTTACTATGAATAATTGGGTTAAATTATGAATAAATGGATTTTACATTTTTATTAATGTTTAAAATTTTATATTAAAAAATAACTTAATTACTAACAATAATAACAACGATAATATTTTTTTTCTAAAAAAATTTTTTTAAGTATCCTACTATAAATAGTAAGTATTTTAGATGCAGCTCTTTCTTTTTTCTTTTTTCCTGCTCTGTCTCCAACTTAAGAACTTTTTTCTGTCTCCAACTTAAGAACTGCATCTTTGCATCTCAATATTCCCAAACATGTTTAATGATGTTATAGCAACAACATGTTTAATGATGTTATAGCAACAACATGTTTAATGATGTTATAGCAACAACCTGTGCATTGCTTTCAAACATGTTTAATGATGTTATAGCAACAACCTGTGTATTGTTTTCAAACATGTTTAATGATGTTATAGCAACAACCTGTGTATTGCTTTCAATAAAAATATGTCTCTTTTGCTTAAAAAAAAACTCATGTTTTCAATTTCTATGGTTCTAATGACTTATTTCTAAATGATAATAACAATATATCTATAATCTTACCTTTAAGCAATTTTTATATTATTTTATATGGTACAAAGACATATAAGTTGATTTGATTTTGGCTTTGAATATCATTTCAATTGATCAAGGATATTCATACTTCTTGAAGTATAAATCTCTTTGGTCAATGAGATTTAAAAAGATGCATCTATTAAATATTTTTAATATTTATGTAGCTCTTTATCTTGTTTTAAATTTCTTTCAAGTTTTTGAAAAATATTCATATTTCAATTCAAAAAAATATTCTAAAAATAGTATCTTATCAAAGTATCTTTATTACATTTTTACTTTTTTTACAAATAACTTCAACTGCTTAATAATCAATCAAAATAATTTTAATCGCTTAGAAGGCAGCAAATCTTAAATCTAATCTCTTTTCTATAACAGATTGGGGCTTGCATTAAATTTTAACACCAACAAAACTCAGTTATTTACTTTAAACAACTATCGTAATCATGTTGACATTCCTATGTTAATGAATGGCAACCCTCTCACTAAGCCCCTTTCTGTACATTTTCTTGGATTATCGTTTACTAATGACCATTTCATTGAAACCATATATACAATAGATTGCTAAATTAGCATCGGCTAAGGTTGCTTCTCTTAATCGTACCCGCCATTTTCTTCCTCCTGATTCCATTCTCTGTCTCTACAAACCTCTTACTTGTCCCCGTATGGATTACTATTGTCATATTTGAGCTGGTTCTTATAATGATGCTCTTTCTCTTCTAGACAAGGTCTAAAAACGCATAGTAAACTTAGTTAGACCCATTCTAACAGCTAAACTTTCCCATCGTCATAAAGTTGCATTTTTTTCTCTTTCTCTTTTCTACAAATACTATCATGGTCACTGCTCAAATGAGCTATTATCTCTAGTTCCATCAACTAAAACTCTTTGTCGCTTGACTCATCATTCAGAAATTTTCATTTATTTACTGTACCTGGGTCAGTCTTTCATTTATTTACTGTATCTGCATGCTCTAAAAACTTTTTTTTTAACTAGTTTTTTTTCCCCTGCACTTCAACACTTTGGAACTCTTTCCCATTTTCATGTTTACCTAACTCATACAACCTACAACTTTATAAAACTTCTGTCAACCATTTCTTTACTCTATAACTTGCAACCTTGCAACTTAATAGTGGTTACCTTGCAACCTTGTTGGGAGTGAATCAGAATAAAACACAAAAACAAAAAAAAACAAACAAAAAAAAAAAAAAAAGCTATTTCAGTAATATTAAACACAAAGTAATTATCTAAAAGTTATTATAATTAACTTTATTAAGTGTAATATTAAACAAAAAGTAATTTGAAGATTATTAAAATTAAAGTTTAGTTGTGTCAAATTACTATTTTAGATCAACACCTATGTTAAATATAACAATAAATAAGATTTTTTAAAACAAGGTACAATATACAAACAAAACAAAAAAAAAACAACAATAAAATACCGATTGCTTCCAAAATTTCTTTTTTAAACTATCTTTTAAACTAGGTCGTTTATACATGCGAACACATAGTCTTTTTCTTAAAACAACATTTACTAATGCTGGGCTGCTAAGACGCAAAGTCACCTTTGATAAATTGAAAAAAAAATTATAAATAAATAGCTTTTAGTATATTACATGCTTTAACAAATTAGCAACATACATTTAGTATATATATTTATATTTAAGTGAGACAAAAAATAATGTAAAATTACAACATGCAAAAAGATTATTTATTTAGACTAGCATAACTAATATTCAAAAAGAACAAAGATAGCCGATTATTGTCACACAATTTTAAACCTACTTTAAGGATAACATAGACCCTTTCCGTATTCTGAGTTACTCTATTCAAATACACTGAGTCGTGCACAGAAGAATCCCAGGATGCAGTAGCCGTAACTCTCTTTTGGTCATACTTCAATATGGGTAACTCAATAATACTATCTGATTGTTCAAATGACAAAAATGACTGATGACCAGCAGGATCAGACTCAATGTCAGAACATCCACTTAAAGCATTATCTACATTATAATCATTAAAAAAGGTAATGAAGCATTGAGGTCATAGCATTTATTTATAAGTAATGCCTATTTAGTTAAGTCTAGTCCTTATAATGTAGAATAAATCCTATCAGTTTAAAAAAAAATTAGTTAAAAAAAATTCTAAACAAAAAAATCTGACAATTTTGATTTTCTGGAAATAACCAGTTCAATAATCAAGAATACTAAAAAACGTTTAAAAAAAATAATTAAAAACTAAGTACCATCTAAATCCAAAAATATTATTGGAATATGAGTTTCCATACCAGGTAGTGGAGACCTAAAACGTTAAATATGTAAATTTAAATTATCTTTTATATGTACAAATTCAATATGTGTTTATTCAATTTAAAATTAGTCAGAGACTGAAAAAAAAAGTAAATAGAAAACTTTGAGACTGAAAAAAAAGCGAATAGAAAAGCTTGAGAGACTGAAAAAAAAGTGAATAGAAAACTTTGATCTGGCCATAAATGCAATGCCAAAAAGAAAGAGAACAAAAAATTACATGAGTATAAGCTATTTTCTAATAATCTGTGATAAAACCTTCCTGAATCATGAAAACCACAAAAATAAACATAACTTTAAAAAGTTTACTACTTACCAACTATATTTATACATAAGCAATAATGTTTTTCATTCTCTCGCACCCTATATTGTTTCAAGTTTTTTCTATTACGCAGGTGATTTTTTATTTTATATGCTTTGGTTTAGTAAATAATACTTATTTTTTTTTTTTTTTTATCAGTAGTTACAGCTTTTTTATATTTTAGTTTTATTTTTCTTTGTGTTTTGTCTATTTTATATTTGTCATTAAATAAATAAAACAAGTAATGCTTTTTTTTTGTCTGAACAACTATTTATTTAACAAAAATTTGCTTTGTTTGTTAATCTCCTTTATCATTATTGATAACATTCTTTTATCAGGTATTTTTATATTGATTGTGTGGCCATATGCAGGGCTTAATTTAACAGTCGGACATTGAACATTGTCTGGCTAAAACCTCAGATTGTCTGATCAATTTACAAAGTCATTTGACATTTTGTCCGGCAAGATTTTTAATTCTTTAAAATAAAATTTTATTCGTTGATTTGAAATTGACAAATTTAAACTTAATGTAAACTATTAGACAAACTTATAAAATATGTTGAAAATGGAGGCATTTATTCCCAAAAAAAGCGCTGTTATTAATTGTAGTTTTAATGACTGTTCTTTAACAGTTTTATTGTTATATTATTAAATTTAAAATTATTGCTTATTTAAAACGATCGCAAAAGTCAAAGTATGTTCGATTAATTACTGCAAACACCGTGGACACCCAAAAGCAAAGAAAAGCTAGCAGTTTGAAAAATTTATAATAAAAGATTCTACAAATGCATTTTTTTAGAGGCTGAGATCTCATCGATGGAATATTTTTAAAAAAACATTAAGAAAATATACATTTAAATATTAACATTACAATCATCCAAATCATTCTATTTTAGCTTGAGCGGTTTCTCGGTGGCATCCTGCTCCTACTCAAGTTTTCTGATTCTTTATTTATTATTCTTTTTTTAAACTATATCTTTATTTGTATTTTTTTTCTTATTATTTATTATATATATATATATATATATATATATATATATATATATATATATATATATATATATATATATATATATATATATATATATATATATATGTATATATGTATATATATATATATATATATATATATATATATATATATATATATATATATATATATATATATATATATATATATAAAAGATATATATATAAAAGATTAAAAAGTTCTAGCTTTATAAAACTTATCTGCCACAGAAGGAGTGCCTTTTAGTAGTAGTAGATAAATAATGACCTGTATAACTCATAAAATTTTCTTCGTTGAATTGATTGAATTTTAATGACATGCAGCACGTGGAATTTTTAAATTAAATAATAGCCCGTAAATATTATATTGCGTTTGATTTTACACGCCTTTAAATAAGTAAAAGCGAAGTTTTAATTTTTTATATCAAGTTAAAAATATGTTTATCTTAATATTTAATATATTAAAGACATTATTATACTATATTACTGTAACAAACTTGTTTTCTTGCCGTTTTTATTATTGATAAAAATAGTTACATAAACGCCATATAATTATCTTTTTGGCGCTAAAAGTGGAGCTTATACGCAAAATTGACACTTAGCATATTATATTTTTTTAAGTAAAAAACTTTTCATAACTTTTATAAACCAGTAATGCAATTCAATGTAAACTAACAAGGTTTTCGAGAGAAAAAAACTCAATAAAACTTCGTCTATCTAAAAAAATGTGCAGTATTGAATTTAAACTATTTCATTTAAAATACAAAGATCTACGATGATAAAAATTCTGAATATTAAAAAAAAAAATACAACTTCACTAGCCTAAAATAAAATAAACTGGGAAAACATAACATATATTTCGATTGGATAATTGGGTTCCGTAAAACTCAGATACGCCAGAAGCTAGTCTAAAAAAACCCATTTGCAGTACTTTTTTACTTTCGGTATTTAAAGAATCTTTTTCCTGTGTTACTTTTAACAAAACAAATATGAATATATGTAAATATTGGTGAAAATTATTTGTTCAAATTTTATTTCAAAAATTTCATCGGACAATGTTCGACCAAAATAACTTTTAGTCGGACATATTGTCCGGGACCTTATAAAAAATTAAATTAAGCCCTGCATATGCGGTAAAAAGTAGCAAGTTTAAACTTTAAGTGTTAAGTTATTAAAAGTAATTTATACCGCATGTGCGGTCATATGTGGTGGAAATTTAAATGACATGCAATTTCAAAAAACTAGAGGTAAGTTATCAAAAATTATTATTATATTAAAATTTATAAAAAAAAAAAAAAAAAAATGTCTTAGTCTATAAAAAACATTTTTTATATCAAATAAAGTTATGCAAATGATAAAAGAGATTGAAAATTAACCCTTGTATAATGATCCTATTTTTCTACTATCTTGTATAATAACCCTACTACCAATTATTACCTATCTACATAATAAAAATGATAAATAATCAAATTAACCAATCTATTGTAGCACCAGGAACACCACTGCCAGGACTTGGACAAAGAATTGCATTTCTCTCTTCTGTTAATGTTACCCATTGGTCAATTAACAAACCTTCTTTTTCTTTATCTTCTTTTGTTTTATCTATAAAATAAAATTAGTAAAAACATAACTGAAAAAAAGAGGGTATATAAAATATAAACTAATGTTATTGGCTGAAAAAGTAAACAACATATAATGATTTAGGATTTTAAATTAACTTTGACATTTAAATTTTTTTTTACTAGGAATGTTTAGCATTTCTTGGATTTGTTGATCTAAATATTCTCTCCTTCTCATCACAGAATTGGAAAAACGATCACGAATTCTAAATTAATAATTATATATATTTTCTTTTTTAAATTCTAAAATAACAACTTTATATATATATATATATATATATATATATATATATATATATATATATATATATATATATATATATATATATATATATATATATATATATATATATATATATATATATATATATATATATATATATATATATATATATTAGGGTGGGTCATAAAATTTTTTTTTAGAGTTGCTAACCTGGCTATAGTCTAGAAAGTTGTTTTTTTATGTACTAATTTAGGAAAGTATTTACTTTTATGGATTGAACAATGTCTTCCACCCGCAACTATAATTACAAAAATTAGCAGGCCCTATTATTATTCAAAAAAAAAAGTTTTTCAAAATTATGTGATGTAGGTACTCAAATAAAGCGAAATTTTATAAAAATTTCAAAAATAATAATTTTTTCATATAAAAATTATTTTAGATTTTATTGCATAATAACTATAGTTTTTTAACTAAAAGTGAAAAAGGTGCATTTTTACAAGTTTTTTGATAATAATTTTTTTCGGCAATATGATTTTTATAAAACGATTGTTATTTTTGAATTTTTCATAAAATTTCGCTTCTTTTGAGTACCAGGTTGACCTACTTTTGAAAAACTTTTTTTCTCCAAAATATTAGGGTACCGGTAATTTTCCCAATAAAGTTGCGCCCTTTAAATCTATCACAATCATTCTCATATTTGATAGTATCAATATTAATAACTATTAGCAATGTTTAGAGCCTGTAACAAGAGAAAAAAATTTTATGACCCACCTTAATATATATATATATATATATATATATATATATATATATATATATATATATATATATATATATATATATATATATATATGTATATATATATATATATATATATATATATATATATATATATATATATATATATATATATTATATATATATATATATATATATATATATATATATATATATATATTAGTGAGCATATTTTAATATAATAGAAAAGTGCTAACCAAAGTTCACAAAAAAAAAAAAAAAAAAAAAAAAAAAATCCAAAACAACATTTTTTAATGCTTCAAATATCAAACTAAATTTATGGTTATCGTTATAAATTTTTTACTAAAACTTATTATATAAGGTTATTACAACAATAGTGATACTGATATATAATACTATTATGAGCTTCAAGCTAACCTAACATTATCTTTCAATGATAACACAAGAACAAGAAAATTCCTGTATTTAAAGTAGGCATAGTTTTATAGTTAACAAGTAAAAACAAAATAAACTAATACGTTTGTAAATCTCTCTCCTGATAACTATCCAATCCTCTTTGATCCTTTGCACGAACAGCAACACTGCCTACTGATATGTGTGTTATAGACTCAATAACCAAAGGTAGATGACCACTTACACCACTTTTTGGAACAACACACTGAACAACTATTCTTCTTGAATAACCTGAAAGAAATTTTTATTGCAATCAAAACCAACAAATTAATAATAAACAAAAAGGAAGAAAAAAAAAAAAAAAAAAAAAGGATAACTCCTTCAAATAAAGTAGTCCTTTGGCCTTAAGGAAAAAATCATTAAAAGAAAAAAGTTAAACAGTGGAATATGTTCTGACATCAAAAATAAATTAGGCGAATGTATTTGTTGAAACTTAATATAACCTCTATCGAACTGAGGAAGTACTTGTTTCAATGTCAACATTTGCCAATATCATAGCATTTTATATCATAGCATTTTTTAATTAGTAAACTGGTGTCTTAGTTTAAAATAATTTCACACTTTTCATTAATCCATAATTTACATAATTCGGTTGTAAAGTTCTATGTATCACAGTGTTCTGATTATTTTCCACCTAACTACAGGATTTTTGTAAATGTCTTTTAATTTTTATCATAGTCATAGTATTTAACTTGTCTAGAAACACGGGCTATTTCCATATAACACTCGAGTTCCTCTATTTACTGTGCTAAGCTTACTTTAGAGTGCATCAAATTGTAAACATTATGTTTTGCCATAGTTATTTTGCATATATTCTTGGATAAATATATAAAGTGACTTTTAAAAGTAATTATCAAAAATTTTAAAAAATATATTAAAATTGTACTTGTTTTGGTTATTCAGTTTCAAGAAACTATTTCATATTTTTATATATTTACATTACATATATATTTCAAATTCCAAATAAAAATGATGAATATAACATAAAATAAAGACATCAGCAGTTAATAAATGTAGTTATGTGAGAGAGTTTGTAGTGGTTTGAATATGTTATATGAAAATATGTTATAGATGCAAACATTTCATCAACTGTATAAAAAAATAAGATGTTTATGGGTATAAATGCTTAGTCATATTTAGTGTGAATTTATTTGAAATGTTAGCTGATAGAGCTTAATATTAAATATATATATATATATATATATATATATATATATATATATATATTTATATATATATATATATATAATATATAAATATATATATAAAATATATATATATATAAATATATGTATATATATATATATATATATATATATATATATATATATATATATATATATATATATATATATATATATATATATATATATATATATATCTTAACTGAAAACAAGAAAATTCGGGTACATTTTTCTAATTTTAAATTCTAATTTTTGAAAAAAAAAAGACTTATTCCTGGATCACTTTCTATAAACTTAACCTAAGGCTTAAGGTAGGATATGCAATAAACCCTTAGGTATAATTATTTAAGGTAGAAAATTATACCTTAAACTATTACCTAAATTATATTAGAAGGGTAGGATATGCGATAAACCCTTAGGTATAATTATTTAAGGTAGAAAATTATACCTTAAACTATTACCTAAATTATATTAGAAGTTTATAGATGTAGATTTATCATACAATTTTTTACCTAAAAGATTTGATTTTCTACTTTTTCAGGTAGAAAATTATACCTTATTGAAGGTGTATCACTTATCCTCTCCTACTTATCCTCTCCTACACTTATCACTTATCCTCTCCTACACTTATCCTCTCTTTTTTTAAATTGTACCTTTAAATTTAAAGCTTCGTGTTATACATGTAAATATTGAAAATATAGATTACTAAAATTCTTAGATGGTGTCTACCATTAAAAGATATTTATGGGTAGTTTCATGCTTTCAAATGCTTTTAATAATTGGGATAAAAGCCATGACAATATGTTATAAATAAAATTTATCTATAGTATTTTTAATACTTTGGCTCTTTGAAAAAAAATGTTTTTTTTCTTTTCAAAAAGTTTAATAATTTGCCTTGCATGATTGAATTTTGGTTTAGGATATAATTGTGTTATTATATGTTTGTTTTTCTATTTATATCTAATTTATAAAGATTTAATTTATAGTTAAGATAAATATAATTTATTTAATTTAAAATTAAGATATAAAATAAAATATCTAATTTATAAAGATTTAGATCATTAGAAAATTTATATTTACAGAGTTGTTATTAATCATAATCAAGTTGTTGAACCAAAAAAATTGTAGAGGTTTATTTATCAAATATAATATATATATTATATAAAAATTTTGGTTTTCATATGTTTTCGCTAATAAATAGTTCTATATATATATATATATATATATATATATATATATATATATATATATATATATATATATATATATATATATATATATATATATATATATATATATATATATATATATAAAACTATTTATAAAACTATATATATAACTATATATATCCTTGGAGTTGCGGCAGCGTAATAGTGTGTTGGGGGAAAAAAATTTATAAACCTGCGTTATAACCCGTTTTCTATTGTACATAACGTGTTAATAAGTTTTATTACCCGTTTTGTTCAATGTTTTCTCCCAACGCATGCCTTATGACGCTGTCTGCGAAGATATGTTGTTTGTTTCTAAATTTTTTTTTCTTTATTAGAAACAGAATAAATCTTAACTTTTTGTATTAAGTTTTTGCTAATATGGTTGCAGGTTTTTCTTAACTTCTATCAAATAAACTTAAGAAACCTGTATTACTTTTGATGATGGCAAATTAATTTTATTTTGCATTAGTTTGGATTCTTTATATATTTGTTTTGAGAATTTTATTTTTTAATTTTTTGAGTAAGATTTTTTTAGTTATTTATTTTATTGTTAACTTTAGAGTAGTAAAAAAAAGAAATAATTAGTGTTGCTTTGATAAATATGTTTAATCAAAATGATGACATTGAAATGAATGATAGGCTAGATGAAGTTATGTATTTACAAAATGATGTAAGTGCTATAAGGCGTGTTGAAAATAGTCGTAGACGAAATGAAAGAAATAGACTTAGGCGAGATGAAATTAATCATTTACAAAATAAAAGAAATAGGCTTAATCGAGAAAACGCTAATCGTCGCCAAAACGAAAAGAAATAGGCTCGATCGAGATAATGTTAATTGTCGCCAAAATGAAAGAAATAGGCTCGATCGAGATAATGTTAACAAATTAAACAATTATTTGGTATGTTTCATTTATTGAACTCACTGCTTTTAAAATTTATTAAAACCCAAGGCAATATATTTAGCTATATAAATACAATTTATTTATCTGATTCGATTCTTCATCTTTTATGTTTATAGTTTAGCTCCTTGAAGCATTTTATGTTTTGCTTTTTTTATTAGGAGTATTTTAAATCCGTTGTGATGTCTTTTAAATTAAACCAAAGTTTACTAAAAGCCAACATAAAAATTACGTTTTTGAACAACACCTAAAAGAACAGCTGCATTCCTAGAGCAACTGCTGCATTATCACAATAGGTTACCAAAAGCAGGTATACTATTTTCCAGTTGTTTTTTTTTTTCATATATATATACTTATCTATATAATACTATAGTACGATTGTTTATATCTCTTTTTTTTTTTCTTTATCTTTAAGTGTTAATAATTTTATTCTTTGAATGAGATTAGTTAAACAAGTCGGCTTTCCATTAAAGATATTGGTTTCAAAATTGAACACCATTGGCAAAATGCTTACAAAATTAGGTAGTTTTTAAAAATCTGTTTTCTATTTAATACACTTTTTTTTAAATATACTTTTTAAATATACTTTTTTTAATATACTTTTCTATAACAATCCTACTAATATGGAATCACGTAGCTTTTTAAATATGTTTAATTGTCGTCCCTATCGGTAATAAACATTTTAAATTATTTGATATGTTTTTCTTTACAATAGGCTATGCTTGGTTCCTCGGTGCTGTAAATGGTGGCTTCAACTTTGTTTTTTTAAGAAAAATGTGTTTTATATATGCTTCTGTTTTAAAATACTTTTGTTACATATTTAACTATATATCATGTAAATAAATTTCTTTTAAAGATATGTAAACTTGATACTTGCTTTTTTACGGATTTTCAAAAAGTGAACAAAGGTTTAAACATATTTTTTAATTGTCTTATATGATTTTATCAATTTTATTAAAGCTGAATAATTACTTTAAAAATATTGAGTAAAATCCAATTGCTTTTAATATTAACCTGATCTATACAAAAATTAATGAAATAAAACTAATAATTTAACGCCAAGTTAAGGCAAAATGTATTCCGGACATTTTATAAAATTAGTATAAATATGGATTGGATGTATGCTGAAATAAATATGTTGATACACGTTAGCTATTAAAGTAAATCCAAATATTCCTTTATTGTTTTTTTTATAAACAAGTTTCTGCTGGATTACTAATTAAAAAAAAGGTTGGTTTAATAATAATCTTTATCATAATAATATAGGATCCGTATGCAGGGCTAAGCCCTTTTCGGAATTGCGATATATTTTTCAACTTATAGTTTTTCCGGATATCCAACTTCTATGCCTACAAGTTTGGGTGTAATATTTTAGATGTTTTAAAAATATTTAAAAAGTATATTAATAACATTGAAAAGTTTAGGTGCAATAGTGACATATTTTTAAGCTCTTCACTTAGTAAAATGAAAAGTTTAAAAAAAAAAGAAACGACTCAGCTTAAAGCAAAATTAAGAGTAGAATATATTCCCAATATTTACCTAAACAATTTTACGGAATTTGAAAATTTGACATCGATGTTCTGTGCATATAATTCAAGTCATTTTTAACTACTATATGGTTGTGATTTGCGCATTCAATGTCTGAACATTGCAAAAGAAATGGTTAACTTTATCTTTAATGAAGCTAAGAGTTCTCTTAAACTAAGAAGCCAAGAAAAATAAAAGTGAGCTCAACTAAAAAAATTTATAAATAAATTTATATTTCATTAGAGAAAGTAAATAAAGATCAAATTGTTAGTAATGATTTATTTACTACTAACCCATATTACGGGTTGCTTTCTGTATAAATAAATTTATATTTTATTAGAGAAAGTAAATAGATATCAAATTGTTAGTAATGATTTATTTACTACTAACCCGTATTACGGGTTGCTTACTGCTAGTTTGTATAAATACTTGAAAAATATAGCTATTATATCAAAGTATATAAAATACTTGAAAAATAGCTAGTATATCAAAGCTACTTAAACTAAAATTCAAAAGCTTGAATATAAATTTTTGTTTTTGGTTATGCTGTTTTGCAATGTATACAATAGCAAATAAAGTAATTATACTTGATGCAAAAAAGATGATGCAAAAATATCTGTTTTCAAATATTGCACCACTAAAGTATATTACAAAAAAGGATTTAATTAAAAAAAAAAAAAAAAAAAAGGAAAGCTACAGAATTCTATTTCAAAATCTTTCTTGACACTAAGTTTTATCAATGATTTAGTATCTATTATGTTAGATGTAAAAAAAAAAAAATCTCACCTATTAAGAAGTTATTTTTAGAAAAAAAATGTACAGCTATCTGTAACTAAAATAAGATATCCCATGATAACTTTCTAGTTTCAAAGTCTGCTGCAGTGTATGATGATATACTTAACTAACCTAACTGACTTTACCGCAACTGGTGCCACTGCATGACAAATGTTTATTTACTTTTATAAATTTGTAAACTAAAAGTTTTTGCTTGTAACTTGTGATACATTTATAAATTCTATAAATCGCAAGTTGTTCAAATTGCATTTTAAATGATCCATTTCACCTGATCCACCACATTATTAAAAGACAACTTGTTATTGTCTTATTCAAATGTGATTTATCCAACTTAAAACATACATAAAAAAAAAGATATATGTAGAATGATGGTATATTTTTACTGTGTATCTTAAAACAGAGAATATGGCTTTTTGTAATTTACCTAAAATTACATTTGAGCATATAAAGTTGAAACCATATTTATTAAGTTTTTGCTGAATTGAACTACATTATAGAATGCAATATTTTCTGTTAAATTAATTTATGGAATAGCCTTAAACTCTAATCTAAATATTTTTTTTCAATGATCGCTTTTTATTACATTGCAATAAAGTAGGAAATTTTGTAGCAGTTTAATTGCAATTATGGAATCAATTAAATTAAAAATCGCATTTACATTTGCGTTGTTTTTTTAAGAGCATTTTTTAAAAGTGTTAATTGTCAAAACTTGCAAAGAGCCATGGCCAAGTTGTCAAAAGAAAGTCTTATATGTGTGGTCATATAAGTCTTAGGGACGGTACACCTCTTATACAAAGGCTTGATATATATACAAATACAAAATAAGTAAACCATGAACATCATTATCAGTTGTGACTAGGGCTGTTGGGTCTATCCCAACCTGCTTAAACCGGGTCTGGGTCTCATTTTAATGGACCCAAAACTCCAAGACCCAGATCTGTAAGACCCATTAATCAAATGGGTCGGTTATGGATCTTATAATATCCAAACCTGTTATACCCAGACTCAACCAACATTTATTAACTAATGTCATTCAAAATCTTTAAATTGTGTGAATTTTCTGATATGATTTTAAGACGTATGCAGATATGAACAAAAGATACTTTGGAAAATAATCAAGAATTTCACAAATCAGATAAAACATCAGAAAAAATAATTAATAAAAATAATTTGAAACCCAATGATTATTTTATGCAGGCTTATTAATATTTTTTTTGCAATTACCTAGCAAAAAAATAATAAAGAAAGCAAGTATAATATAGGTTATGTATTTAATTGCTTTTTGTTGTTTTGTTTTGCTATCGTAATCTCACGAGAGTTTTGTTAAATATATAAACCTAATTGTTTTAATTGTTTTAAAAAAAGTGAGTCATATCAAAAACTTTATTATAAGTTTTGAAAATTTAGGTAAGCAAAAGAAAAAGAATAAAGAAGTACATAAGTTAAATCATCTATTCAAAACAAATCTTACATTGCTCTAACTTGCCACCACTATATTAATAACTAAAAATAATTGGTAACTAAAAAAGCATGTACTTAATTTTATTGATATTCATACTTTTCATTTCTTGATAAGTTGTATAAATGGAACATTGATAGAAAAATAATGTCCATTATTTTAGATAACTGTTTCACGAATGATGCAATGGTTAAAATTGTCAAAAAGAAGCTTAATACTAAACTAGTCAGTGAAGGTAATTTTCTTCATGTTAAATGTTCTGCACGTATTGTAAATTTGGTTGTTCAAAAACCAATTAAAAACATCAAACATTTAGTAGTAAAAGTAAGAAAATCTGTGATTTATTTCAAATCATTAACTTTAAAATGGCAGCAGTTTAAAGAACTAGCATCTCAAGTACAAGCTCCTAGTATTATTTGTTAGGTGTAAAAACAAGATGGAACTCTACTTATATTATGATTGACATTGAAATTTAAAGATATTGATTTAAGTTACATTCACTAAATAAAGAGGAGTGAATAAATGTAAGAATTTATTGCGACTATTTAAAATTTTTATAAGAATTAACAAATCTTTTATCTACGACATTAAATCGAACAGCAAACTATTATGCAAAAAATGAACTCCGAGGCAGTTTAGTTCAATTTTAATTTTCTTAAGTTTAATTGCCAATTTTAATTTTCTAATAAACAGAGAAAAACAGCAATGTGACCTTCATTAATGAAAAACAAAACCAAGCATTTCTAATTTTTTAGAAAAAGCAAAATAGTGGAAAGAACTCAAGTAGCCATTTTTATTGAATTAGGAAGCTGTCCTCAGCGATTGTTGAGATTTTACTCGGATTTTACTTTGTTTTTATCTTTTGATAATATAAAAAGTATTATTTTTGAAAAATGATACCTGTTTTTATTTTTTTTGAAGTTTTTATTGTCCGCCATCTTAAATAATACTTTAAAAGGAAAAATAGAATTCTATTATGTTCAAATAGCAACCGTGACACAATAAGCGGAGCACTTACCCCTGAATCAAGATGTTTACAGAAGCAGCTGTGGTATAGTAGTTAAAGCCATAAAATCAAAAGGTCCGAAATTTGAGTTCTGCTCTGACTATTATGGCAACATTATCATGGGAAGCAGTGCGAGATTTTTAGATCAGTGTATTTCAACGGTATTCTATACCTTTTATGAGGAAGATACATAGGACGCAATAGATTGTTTGTGATGCTCCAGAAAAATAATCTATTGGATGCTCGAGCATTATTGTACTTTTTTATGGCTAACTGCTTTAATTTTTTAGGTACTTTAATCATTGAAAGGTTGAGAAAAACGACTTCAATTACCCATTAAGGACTTCCCATAAAGTAAATATGTAGTCATGGAAGAGAGATTATCCTAAAACATACGAATTTGTACAAGGAAGAGTGTGGGTGTTACAAACAGAAAATATGTACACAGTTTTAATATTTCTTGATATCTATCTCTTCCAAAACCTGATTCTTTTTTTTGTAACAAAAGCAAAGTTTCACAACTCGTAATAAAAAATGCATACAGAGGCAGAGGATTGTTAAAAGCATACAAGTGCTTTTAACAATGTTCGACATACGTACTTGATGGATGCCCCCTTAACTGTTAGCAACCATGATGACATATCCATTAAATAGCCCACACCCAGTAATGCTACGCGCTATTTTTGTTCTTGTTTTGGGATGACAGGGGCAGACCTGCTCCAGACCTGTTAAGTAAATTATGTATAAATTTGGGTTGTTGTATGTTGATACCTGAGCCCAGACCTGTTTCTACAAGTTGGGTCTGGGACTGTTGATACTCTACCCAAATCTGACCCATTAACAGCCCTAGTTCTGATGGCTTACTACATAAACCACAGTTGTGATGACTTACTACATTAAACCAAAGATTTGATGACTAACCGTCTTGCTTTAAAAATGAGTTGAATGAGTTAAAAAAATGAGTTTAATGAGTGAATCATTTTGATTATAATAACAAAAGTATTAATAACATCAGTAATAATAGCAGTAGTATTAATAACAAAAGTAATAATAACATTAGTAATAATAGCAGTAGTATTAATAACAAAAGTATTAATAACATTAGTAATAATAGCAGTAGTAAAATCAATAAAAGTAAGTATCATTTGATATTAAAAATTCAAGGTTTTTTTAGTCAAATATAATACTTAAAAATTTTACACAAAAAAACTATTTATTTTTACTGTCATTAATTAATTAAAACTAAATCACATATTAATACATAATACAAATCCTGAACATATATATTTCAGAAACATGTGATAATAAAAAAAAAAATTTCAGTCTAAAAATAAAAAAATAAATAAAATAAAAAGCAAATAATGTAATATGTTGTTGCTACATAGATGATACACAAATTTTATTTTTAAAAACTTAAAAAATCAAAACCTTGTCTTAACATGAATACTCCCCCAGCTTCCTGTCCTTCTCTTTGTAGTAGCTCCACAGGAGAGTAAAACCCTTGTTCATTTAATTCATGTATCTCAGACCAAAGCTCAATTCTACGAGTTAGCTCCCTCCATCTGTTATGACAATAAAATTATTAGAGAAATTTAAACTCCCAATCATAAAAACTATTTTACTCTAATAAAAGTGCATCTAATAAAATAAAAACAAAAGAAAAAGAAAAAAGCAATTAGTAATGATGTTAATTTTAAATACACACACACAAAAAAAATAACAACACTGGTTATGCAAATGCAATCACCAAAACATTCATTTTAATTAAATTTTGTTTTTTTACATTCTAAGAATTTAGTAAATCACTGAAAAGAACTGTTTTTATTCAAACTACAAAAGTTTCATGACAAATTTAAATTTATCAAAAATTACAAAAGGTATTAATTCAAAAGCAACATTAGTTAGTAAACTTGTTATTTCAAAAGATTGATATTAATGAGATTAATGAATGTGATCCTCTATAATGAGGCGGAGATTGCTTTTACCTCCTAAGTGTTGCGGCATAAGTGCTTGAAGTTAACATTTGATTTATGTACATAGAATCCCTGTGATAAGAAAAACAAACAAAAAAATATCAAAAATAAAATATATAACTTATATACGAATCCCTAAAAAAAAACAACTCAAAAATTACAAAATTATTTTTTAAATGCAATTTAAATTACTATTTGACATTTAAATAGAATGCTACTTTTTGTATTTTTTCTTTTTTTCTTCAAGTGAAAAAAAAAAAGAAGCTTTTGATGGAATTTTTTATTTTTAATGTTTCTTTATTAACTATTGAAAATTTAGGTGCAAAAAAGTTTTTTGATGGAATTCATATTTAAGCTGTTAATCGCAAACAATATACAAATGCCTTTTAATAACTTTTTAATAACTTGAATATATAACTTAAATATACAAGTTTTAATAGTTTTAAAAGGCAAATGCTGGATATACTGTCTACAAATGTGAATTTAAAAAGAAGAGGAACAAGATATACCTTGTTCGTTCAATTTTTTCAACAACAATTGAAGACGAATGTTCAATACTACAGACAAAGAGAAAATCTTTAAAAATATAAAAAATCTACTTAAAAATGTGCAAATGTCGGAGTACTATTAACAATATAAGTCAATAGTAAAAAAGTACATTGATATAAGAACTGTAGTATAATTAACCAATCAGAATAATTTTACCAAGTAAACAACAAACTTTGTTAAATAAAACTGCTGCACGGAAAAACAGGTTAAAGGCAGTATTTCCACCCTATTTTAGAAGTATCTAATCCTCCATTCAGCAGTCTTATTTTACAAGGGTGCTAAGGGTGTGTTTTAGAGTTTAGAGTAAAAAGTTTTAAATAAAATTAAAAAACAAATAAATAAATAAATGCCCCATTTACTGTAGCACCTCATGAGCCTTAGGAAAGGTGAATTTAATAAAGTTGAGACATTTTATTATTTACCGTTTTTTCAAATTTCACTTAAGCTTTAATACATCTTTGGTATTTTTTTGGCTAATTTGATAATTGTAATATTCTAAGAAACTTTATTACTAAAAAATCACAAAATTAGAAGTAATTTCTAATTTATTACTTTATTCGAAACTTTAAGATTGATTTAAAATTTAAATGTAAAATTTGATTCCTTTTATTGAATCCGTTAAATTATTTTAAATGATTCGGGTTTAAAAAACATGTCATGTAACATGACAATTATAAATCTAACATGACAACTATTTTAAAAATAAATAAAGAGTTAAAATTTATTAGCTTTACCATCTCATCCTATATAAGATTTTTTTAAATATTTTTGTAATCAAATATAGTGCAATAAAAGAAATTGTGCTCAAGAAAATCTAAAATAATGCTTCTGGTTCACCTTTCCACAAGAGTTTTCATACCATTTTCATCTGTTGATAAATTTAATGATACAGGTTTCTGATCAAAACCTCTACTGCGATTTCCATATACTTCAACAGCTAATGAGCCATCAGTGACATAGTCTAAAAATTCTTCATCAACATTGACCAAAAATTTCTAGAAAATGCAAAATAACAAACTTACTTAAAAATAATTTCAAAGCTAAAAATGTTTTATTTTTGTTAAAATACAAAACAGAAAACAACCATTTATATAATTTTGATTTTGCTTTTAAACCTAAATTACTTTATTATACTCTCCTCTAATTTGACCCACAATGCAATATTTTCCCATAATAAAGTATATATTGTATTTATTTATATATAAGTATATATTACTAATATTTATCTCAAACGCAAAAATTACTTTTTAACAAATGTGAAATAAAAAAGATTGCTCATTCCTAAATAACTACCAATATACCTGTGTATTTATAAAATTATCTTTGTATTTATTAAACTATATCTGTACTATATGGTAGCGTTATTTATTATCACTGTACTCCTGTATTTAATATAATCATCACTGTACCCCTGTATTTAATAAACTATTTCTACATTTATTAAATTATCTCTGTACTGTATGTAATTGTATTATAAGATATGTAATAGTGTATTTTATATATTTTTATTTATTTTTGAAAAGGTTAATTCAAATCTGCCACATCTAAGTAAAATAAATAAAACAAAAAATTACTTTTGTATTTTCAAAAGCCATGGAATTACATTTTGTTGGTGTAATAACGCTTGCAGTGTTGTAAGGTGGTACTACAGTTAATGGATTATCAAAAAATCTATATTGACAAAATACATAATTGCACAAGGTTAATGGAAGACCGTGAGCCTCTTTAATTGTTATCTAAAAAAATTTGGTCAAATTATTTAAACACATCTTTAAAAGGTTTTTAACAATACACAAAAATATCCATTAAAAAACATTACCTGTACTTGAATTCTGCTATTGAGAGCAAGCCCTTCATTTTCATCATCACTACAACTATCACTATCAATTGAAGTGGAATCTATATCATCTAAATCAATAAAAATAACATGATAAATTAACTAAAGATTTTTCTAATTACATAAAAAAAACTAGTAATAAAAACCTAAAAACTAAAAAAAATAAATAAATAAACCTTGTATCCTTTTAATTTCAATTGCAAGTCTACCACATACTTCCCCCTGTTGACTAATTATTGGAGCAGAATAATCTAGTGGCACATTTTGATACAAGCATTCTAGCCAAACAGTAGCAACTCCAATTAATGTGTGACATTCCACTTCAAAAAATAAGCCATCATCATCATCACCTATCTATAAAAAATTAAGATGACATTAATATATGCTTAACAATTTATCAAAAATCAAATATTAAAAAATTTTAACTGAAAATGTGCATATGACAAAAGAAATCACACCTACACTAATAAAAGAAAAAACTACAAAAAAATTCCAATGAACTCAGTAAAATTTATACTAAAAACTAATAGCAAAGTATTAGAGCACATTTCTGAAATTATTACTAATATATTTAAATTAGAAAATAAATATTTGTATATAAAACATGTGAGATTAGTGAGATACTTTAACTATTGGTTAGAATAAGATCAATTTGAGTAATTTTATGCATATTTGTTTGCTAGAAATATAGCAGTCACTAACTATTGGCTATTGTGTCAACATTGTTCAATGCTCAAATGTAGCTCAGATGCAAAGTTAATACTAATTTGCTTTGAGTGAATGTTTTAACATTATAAAGCATATTGATTTTTTTGAAACTATAAGAGGAACCAGTTTTAAAAGATTCCTTTGTTGTAAGAGAAATCACCTGTATATCTTGTTTATAAGCACATACATTGCATTTTGGTCAAAAACTTTAGATTACTCTAGTGGCATTGTCAGTGCAGCAGTGATTATATTTCTATTTTTCCTTCTTGGCTTCTTTAAATTTCTCATCAGTGCTCTCTGATGATTTTAAATGAACTTTTGCATAAGATGTGGAGGTTTCTTTTTCAGCAAACTGACACCACTTATGTTTTAAAATTTTTTTGTTGTCAGAGCATACCTCTTATTTGGTGCAAGGATCTTATCAATTGACCTGATTGCTCATCTTCTGTTTCTTTATGCAAAGAGAGAATTATGATCATTTTTATTTGTAATTGCAGACAGAGCATTTGCACTAACACTAACAACATCAAGAAGATTTTTAGATCTTCTTTGAGGACCTTTAACAACTTGTGGACAGATCTTCAACTACAACCTTTCTTAAGAAGCTTACTCATAACAAAATGTCATAAACTTTTCAATCATTTATTCATTTGACCATTTGAATACGAGCTTTAGCTTATTTTGCAATTTTTATCAATCACTCCAATTGATGCCTTTCTAACAGCTATTGCTTTTTTTGTGATAATAGCAAAGAGTATCTTTCTTTGTAGAGAAGAGTTCTTCCAGAGTAGCCAAGGGTATCTTCCTTTGATGGCAATTTATAGCCTTAACCCTGGCTTATACATCATCCTGGTCCCCCAGGCAATAGACGTCATAAGTCTTCTGCTAAATTTTTAAACTTTTATCATAAATCTGAAAAGAAAAATATATTATTTTTTATTATGTGTATACTAACATGTGATAACTAAAAATTTGGACAAAATTAGAAATTGTATAACTTTTTAACTGAATGATCAATTTTAATAATTTGAAAAAGTATAATAACAAAAAATATCTAAATAATAATATTATAATTTTTATAATTTATTTATAATTAACTATTATAAAGTTTTTCATACCATGATGACGAACGGTGTCTACTCTTGTAAATGTTGCGGCAGCTAGCCGATGTACACGTTTTATGTTAATTTTCTTAATTGAAAACTCTATCCGCTTTTTAAGTTCACCTAGATTTTCAGCTTGCCAGGTTTTATTATACACTAATCTCTTAAGTTCAGGCCAAAAATCTTCAATTGGATGTAATTCTGGCACATTAGCAGGGTTATTCTCTTTTGGTACAAATTCAATATTTTTAGCTTTTAGATAACCTTGCACTTTACGTTAATAATGTGACAAAGCTAGATCAGGCCAAAAAACAATATTGTCATTTTTATGATGTTTTTTGATCAATTTCTCTTATCTAACAAGACATTTTAAAATATACACATTTTCATTGCTTGACGGAGCAATGTACTGCTGAGAGATTCCTTTTGTCGAGAACGCAATCCAAAAAAGTAATTTTAGCTCAAATTTGTCTTTTCTTTTTTAACTTTACATCATTTGATGCTGTATTTATGTCAAAAGAAAAGAATCCAGCATTTCCGGAAATTTTGGTGTTGCTCAAATAAAAATATGATTCATTGTCAATAATAACTACTTTTTTCCTAAAAATCTAAACCAATCTACGGCACTTTGAAAAACAGTTCCAACTTTTCTTTCTGGTCCTATATTATTCTCCTTTCTTTGAAGTATATTATAAATAGATGATTTTGGTATGTTTTTCATTCGAAAATGATTTACAATAAAGCTTTTATTCTTATATGGATGCAAATCCTAAAATGTATACACTTGTTTTCTAAAGGAGTCTTTGTTACAATTTTTTTTTCTCCCATTTTTAATTATTACTAAATAATTTTTTTTTAAAAATTATTTAGTAATAATTATTTAAAAAATTATTTAGTAATAATACATTTAAAAAATTAAATTTGTAACAAAATAGAAGGGATTGCAAGTATATTAAATTATTCCTTCATATTTTAATATTTACTCAAACTTTGTCCAGATTTTTAGTTATCACATGTTAAGAAATAATAAAGACAAAAAGTATATTTATTTTAAATAATATTTATTAGATAAAATTCAAACTCAATGAACATATGCAACCTCTAAAGAAACTCAGTCAAATCAGTTCCCATGTTAGGTCTTATTATATTATTTTTATAAAGATAGTATATTATAATAGATCTTTATAAACAACTGGTAATCTCAACCAATTTATTTTTTAAAATTATGATGTAAAATTAGATTAAAGTATTTTTAAAACATAACAACAACAATGATGCTTTTAAAACAATGTAATATTCTTAGAATATATAAAATATAATATGTTCTAATGTCTAAAATATATAATATAATAAAAAAATATTAATACTTATCATAAGAAGAATGGTCCCTTTAGAAGAATATTTACTGGAAGAAAAGTGCAGAATCCCTCTCCAAGGCATTATCAGACGCTACGATTTCCTTGGACCAAAAATCGAAGGAAGAAAGTAGCAAATAGCGGAAATTTCCAAAGAAGTCACCAAACTATGGAAGAATAAACTGAATTTTCCTCATGTATCTGACCAAGTTATACGAGCAAAGCTTGATAAAATACTGAAATGTTATAATGAGTGTGTCAAGCGAGGAAGCTATGAACCCCTTGATGAAATTTTTGATATTACTAAAGTAGATGGAACATGATTATCTTCCGAGGACAAGCGATTGTACCATCTCCAAATGGAAAGCAAAGGAACAGTGGGATACTCTACAGGACAAGCGGCCAGTAAAGAAACAATCCATCCCTCTAAAAGACAAAACATTCTAATGAGTCATCCAACTCATCATTTTACTATCCTGGTTTTAATGATTATGACAGAGGCTGACGACAGTGAATATGAAAACAATGAAGATGATGAGACAACTCCTACAACAAGAAGAAAAGATTTTAAAAGCAAAATTGCAGTCAGTTTGGTGACCTCCACAATAGTATCAACAAACAAAGCTGTTAACATATGCAAGCAATCGGCTCGTGAAGGCATTGACATCCCAACTCCATGTCAATCAGCTATTTACAAGTCAACAATCAAAGAGGCAATCAAGCAGAAGGAAGAAATGATTGAAAAGTTGGTCCTTACACCTTGATGGCAGGCACATCGACAGAATGGGTTATCAAGTGGTCATCCTTAAAAATGAAAAAAGAGAAATCAAATTGGTTGTCCTTGGCTTGGTATGTTAATTTATATCATATGGCTGGGCAGACCAGGGTTGGAAAAAACCCAGGGTTTTTTAAAAAAACCCAACCCAAATGGGTTTTTTTGGGTTTTATGGGTTTTTTGGGTTTTCTTAAAAATCGATCAAAATACCAAATTTTTATAATTGTATGAGTACAATAATTTTTTTTTTAATTTCATAAATTCACCTCCCTATTGCTCCAATGACCATTTTAGTCAGAAGAGCAACTCATTTTTTAAAAATATTTTGTCTCAATCCTTAACATTACCATTTTTACTAACAAACAACATTAACAACTAAAATTTTTAAACAAAGGCGCTGTGTGGATAAATAGATTGAGACAGTAATTTCAGCAGAGGTAATTTGAACCCCAACCTTCTGGTTGCGAGCCAAATGTTTTACTACTAGTCTACTAGCACATTTTATCTATAGTGCAAAAAGGGACTCCATCAACTATAAATGATGTTAATTAATTGCTCTAAATTAAAAACATGTTCAGAATATTTTTGACTAAAAAAAAATCAGTGTAAAAATTATGACAATTGAGTTATTCAAAGTTGGTAAGACAATATAAATGTTGCAAACTAGTTTTTTTTACTAACATGTTCAACATATCATTTCAAAAACTATTTTGCACAAGTTTACAACATGTAATCAACAAGTTTGCAACAGGATGTTGCAACCTTATAAGTTATTATCAATCAGGATGACTATGAATACTTTTTAAACATTTTTGTATCATAGAAGAAAACTGCTAGCCTAATCACTACATTTTTTTATCAGAACATTATACTGTCCAGCTTCCTGGAAAAGTTATCGGCCTGATCAACTGGACTGGTAAAAAATGGATTTTTGCCTAAACTTTGTTTCTTAAAATATCTAAAATAAATTTGTTAAGATTCATTACAGTGTCTTTGCCACCAAGTTTTTTTTTTCCTTAAAGATGTTTTACCGGCTCAGTATTGCAATGCAAATTGCAAACTGAATCAAAGTAACACATTATATAGCTCTATTGTGTGTGTGTTTCTTCACCTTTTAGCAACTTGATACTGATGTTAATTTTCAACCTGCTGATCATAGTCACCCCTGTTGGTGGTACATGTTGTAAACTTGTAGCTGATGCAAAATATTAAAAACCTATCAAAAGACAGATGAGCACGGGTGTCATTTTTACCAACAAATCTTGTCCTTGTGAAATGCATACAAGTTTTCAACATGTTCTCTCATTGAATGAGCAAACATGTTGCAAACTTGCTTGCACATAACTTAATTTTTTTTAAGTTTTAAAGTTGTATGCACTTAAGGACAAATCTAGTAAACTGTAGCATTTTTTT